CACAATCTTTTAGGAACTAATGTCACATGTTTGGAAGGGACATTTATCTGAAGTTCAGCATGAGCTTTCATTTCATTTTTTTAATTCTGTGAAATCAAGCAAAAATAAATTTAATACGCACATTTTATTTTTTAAAAAAGTTAATAGTCATTTATTTTTGTTATATTCTTCTGTATTTTTCAAATTTCCTACCCAAAATAAGTTTATAATCAGAAAAAAGCATAGGTATAGTTTTTACAAAGAAAAAAATGGATAGCCATATTAATCCACCACGAGGGAAAAAAAAAATCCATTAACCTCTGATGACACAAATACAATGAAAACACTATCCCTTCCATAACAGTCTTCTTTCTTTCTCTGATGTTTAGACACCAAGTTGGTTTCAAAAACAATTTTTTGTTGTAACTAAAACCACACTGGACTTCCTGTCGTCGGCAAGCACAGGTACCTGGGGAGCAGCCTCGGGCATCAGGCCCCTCCCTCCCATGAGACCCCCAAGACCACCACCTGGGTCAGAGTCACCCGGAGCCTGGGGAAATGCAGGTTTCAGGCCTCCCCCAGACGACTAAACCCGGCTCTTGGTGCTCAAGGAACAAAGTGGCTTTTGTCCTGTCCATCCTCAGAGACCTTAGGCAAGGGCTTCGGCGGTTCTGTGGGGTTGTATGAGGCTAGACCACTATGGAGGAGAGTGCTTATGCAGGACACAGTTGTGGAGAGCCCCCAACCAGCGCGTGGCCACTGTCCCCTATGGGGTGGGGCATGAGCAGTGTGCTTCTTGCCCGGGGATAGGCCTGGTTCTCTGGGCTGCTAAAGCACGGGAGCCTTCCCACCTTTAAGCTTTGCCTTCTGGCCTGGGAACTGAGTGGGGGAGACCCTTTTGCCAGGAGGGGTCCTTTTACAAATGAGGCTGATGACCAGAGGTGGCAGGACATCCCCAAGATCACAGAACTCCCACAGACCCACCATGCCTTCTCTGTCCACCCTACCTTCCTTCCACTACAGCACCCACCCCTCACGCTGCCGCAGGAAAGGAGCCCCTCGGGTGGGCTGTGCGGTGGCCAGAGGCCTCCCTGTCCTGGTTCTCCACACTGGGCGGGGCCTCATGTGCACCCACTGGGTCAATTTTCCTGCGATGGTCACGGGCTACTTGCTGTTGACGCCCCCAGCCCTGTCGAGGCCGTGCTGGTGCTCTCCTCCCTGGTTTCCATTTCTTCACGACCCATGGAACCAGCTGGTGTCCCAGCTCCCCTGAAAGACCATGTCCCATGCCACCAGATACACATGGGTCTTTCCAGTCTCAGCCAGATTGTGTTTGTGCATGGAGGGAGAAGGTTTAGGGGGAAATTCTAAATCAATTGCAGGGGAGGGAGAGCATGGAAGAGGGGGCTTTAGGTTTGTAAACTGCTTCTCTTTACTAAGCGTTTCCCCACATTTTCTGGCAATATCAGCGTGCCAGAGATGACGAACGCTGAGGTGTCCCATAAGGCAGGGGCTGGCCAGTGTGGCTACTTTGCATTAACCCGATTAGAATAAATACAAAGTTCACTTCCTCAGCAACACATGCCACATTTCAGGTGCTCAGTAGCTGAATGTGGCTGTGGTTGTGGCTGTGGCCATCGCTGCAGAGCCCTGGAGGACTGTGCTTCCCTTGGCAGCAGGCTTCTGGGAGCGCCTCAGAGTTGCGGGGCAGGCCCCGGGCGTGTGCGCTCTGCAGGGGGGCCTGGCGCTGTGGCAGGAAGTGCAGACCCGGCGCCTGAGGGTGGCAGAGCCTGACCAGAGGAGCTGCTGGTGATGACCTGCAGCACACCCACCCTCTGCATGCACACACACAACCTGCCTGAGACCGGAAAGGCCCAGTTGTGTCTGGGGGCATGGGACGTGGGCTCTTGGGGGAGCTGGGACACCAGCTGGTTCCATGGGTCGTGAAGAAATGGAAACCAGGGAGGAGAGCACCCACACGGCCTCGACAGGGCCGGGGGGCGTCAACAACAAGTAGCCCATGACCGTCGCAGGAAAACTGAAAGATAGAAAGGCAAATTCAAGTCATCCACAGGGCACCGTTCACTTTTTGCTGTTTAGAACCTGTGGGGCACTATTTATATGCATATTTTCTTTATAACAAAATCCAAAGTCTGCAACCCAATGACCATACAGCCACGCCTGGCCGGCCTTGCCCCCAGCTCCTCCCCTGCCCCTCTTCCTGCCGCTGCCTGGGTCTCCCGAGTCCTGGGACCCCAGGCCCACTGAGACCCCAGGCCCCCTGCGACCCCCGGCCTCTCCATGTGGATCTGTTCAATCTGGCGTCCCTGCAGATGGGCCCTGCACTCCCCTGCCTTGCTTCTCTTGCTGCTCAGATGTTTTCCTTGCTTAGTCATGGAATATCAGCAGCAGCGAACATAAGGCTCTGTGTGCCAGAGCCTGTAGGACAGGGGCTCAGGCAGGGCTTGGTGGGCACCCATGAATGCATGGCACAAAGGATGAATAGCTCAGGTTCCAGCAGCCAGACTTGAGCAGGACCATCAATGGTTCTGGGCTCTTCTGGCTCTGGCACAGACACTGGGGGACGTGATTTGGGGGGCGGCATTTACACTGTTTCCCACATCTTTTATCCAAATATGGGCCTCCTTAGTCAAGAAGAACATGGAAAGGTGACAGAAATCCAGCCGACCCCCCCACCCCCAACACAGGCAGTCTCCACAGTCAGAGCTGAGAGGAATAAAGTTTACCATCACTCGCAAGAGAGGAGTCGTGTACCCAGATATGCTCTGCAGGAGCCCTCAGGTGGGCCGCGCCGAGCCTGGGAGCTGGGCGACACTGACCAGGTGCAGAGGAGGGGAGGCAGGGCTGGGTCCAGCACCACCATGGGATCCACTGGCTGGGACAAGCCGACAGGGGTCGGGCCAAGCTGCGGCTGACTTCTCCTAACACCCTAAGGCCACATCCTATCCAGAGATCCTGACACCTGGGGGACATGCTCCGTTTTTCTTTAATACATATGTTACAAATAACCCTGGGTTCTGAAAGGGGCTGTGTGGGCAGGGATGGAGGGACAGGGACTCCATCATTGTACCACAGCACGTGCTCCTCAACTTTGGATATGGTGCACCCATGGGGATGTATGACAAATGCACTGTGGGGTGAGGTGTGGACAGGTGGGGATCAACAGGTGAGGAGTGAACAGGTGAAGGGAGAGTGGACGAGTGAGGGGTGGACGAGTGAGGGGTGGACAAGTCAGGGCTGGGTGGACAGGTAGGGGTGGACAGGTGAGGAGTGGACAGGTGAGGGGTGGTTGGATGGGTGAGGGGTGGGTGGACGGGTGAGGGGTGGATGGACGGGGGAGGGGTAGACAGATGAGGGATGGGTGGATGGGGGAGGGGTAGGTGGACAGGTAGGGGTGGGTGGACAGGTAGGGGTGGACAGATGAGGAGTGGACAGGTGAGGGGTGGTTGGATGGGTGAGGGGTGGGTGGACGGGTGAGGGGTGGATGGACGGGGGAGGGGTAGACAGATGAGGGATGGGTGGATGGGGGAGGGGTAGGTGGACAGGTAGGGGTGGGTGGACAGGTAGGGGTGGACAGATGAGGAGTGGACAGGTGAGGGGTGGTTGGATGGGTGAGGGGTGGGTGGACGGGTGAGGGGTGGATGGACGGGGGAGGGGTAGACAGATGAGGGATGGGTGGATGGGGGAGGGGTAGGTGGACAGGTAGGGGTGGGTGGACAGGTAGGGGTGGACAGATGAGGAGTGGACAGGTGAGGGGTGGTTGGATGGGTGAGGGGTGGGTGGACGGGTGAGGGGTGGATGGACGGGGGAGGGGTAGACAGATGAGGGATGGGTGGATGGGGGAGGGGTAGGTGGACAGGTAGGGGTGGGTGGACAGGTAGGGGTGGACAGATGAGGAGTGGACAGGTGAGGGGTGGTTGGATGGGTGAGGGGTGGGTGGACGGGTGAGGGGTGGATGGACGGGGAAGGGGTAGACAGATGAGGGGTGGGTGGATGGGGGAGGGGTGGGTGGACAGGTGAGGGGCGGACCGGTAAGGAGGACAGGTGAGGTATGGGTGGAGAGGTAACAAGTGGACAGGTGAGCGGTGGTGGGCAGGTGAGGGGTGGACAGGCCCGGGGGCCATACGGGGCACAGAGAACTTAGCACCACCAAGGCCTGAGGTATGACACCTGGACTGAGGGCCCTGCTAACATCAATGTTCTTCTTGTCTGTTTCTTTGTTTCTCTTTCAGATTTCTGTTCCCAGGTCCTTAACTCAGACGTGAAGCCAGGATTTCCCGAAACAATAAAGACCAATGACCCAGGAGTCCTCAAAGCAGCCAGACACAGTGTTGAGAGGTTCAACAACTGCACAGATGACATCTTCTTGTTCAAGGAGTCCCACATCAACAGAGCCCTGCTGCAGGTAAGGGTCTGGGTTCTTGTCACCAGCATCTAGGGACACTCTAGGAACTGAGATGCCCAGCACCCTCCATCTGGAACACATGCCCAGGCCAAACCCAGTGTCACCCAGAGCCCAGCTCAGAGCCCCAAGCTGTTCTCTCACTCAAACCTCCTCCTGGGCAGTCACCAGGGCTGTAGCCCAGAGCCCATTAGGAGCGGGACCAAGGTGGGACAGGGCTGCAAAGGGGCTCCTAGAGGTGGGCACACTGAGGCTGATGGTGCAGGACTGATGGAGGCACCAGGCCAGGGAGCAGGCCACTGCATCGCCAGTCAGCACTGCCCCCACCTGGTCTGCCAGGTCCCTGCACCACAGCCTCCAAGGGATTCCCTGACATCCCCCAGTGCATGTTCTTCCACAGGGCAGCTTTGCCCAAGCTGCTCTCCTGTCCCCACTCCCTCCGTCCCCAGGGGAACCTGCAGGGCACAGCAGGGCCTTGCTCATCTCTCAGTTTTACTCAGCATCTGGTGGAACTGAGACTGAAAAACAGGAATTGTTCCCCGACTCCTCTGAGACACAATTGAGGAGAGTGAACCTGGTCACTGCCGCATCCAAGTGGAGAAAGACAATTTTGAAACTCAAAACACAGGGCTCCAGAAATGGAAGGAGGAGCCAGCGAGATAAGTGCTCAGTTCACTTGACGCAGGTTCATTTGGAGGAGGGAGCAGGGCTTCCCCTCTGGCCTGGAGGCCAGGGCAACCCAGTCTGCGCTCCGAGTGCAGAGTTCTGGGCAGAAGGAAGACGTCCTCAACGGGACATAAGCCTGCGTCCCAACCCCAGGACCATGAGCCAACACCTTGAGTCTGTGGGGAGGGGTCTGGATCCGAGGCTCTCTTGAGAGTCCGAGGCAGTCCTCCCCCACCTGCGCCCTCCTTGGCCGGTACGCTGGACACCTTCTCCACCTGTCCTAGGCCCCGCTTGTAGTGGAGGAGCCTGCCACCCTGCCATCCTGTGCCAGTGACACAGGACCCCGTCCCTTTGTCCTCTTCAGATAGTGAAAGGCCTGAAGTACATGCTCGAGGTGGAAATTGGCCGAACAACCTGCAGGAAAACCAAGCACCCTAGTCTGGACAACTGTGACTTCCAAACCAACCACACCTTGAAGCGGGTAAAGCAGAGGGGTCTCACCACCTCAGACCCACCACCTCTCCCACAGCCCCCCCTCACCGCCTGGGCTGTGCAAAACACCCGTCATCACTTCTGTCCACACGGTCCCAGCTCTCACTCCTGAGGAGCTGGGCACCCCGGTATTCCTATACCACCCACAGTTACAAGAGTGGGAAGCAGAGACACCCCAAGAAGGCGGGGTTGAGGGCAGCGTGGTCCCACTGCTCCAATCACCCACCCCCACTCCCTGGGAGGCACTTCTCAGGAATAAACGCTCTGGGTTTGGGGAGGTGGTTAGAGCAAGAAAAGCTTTCAAATATTTCAGAAATTCCATATATGATACATATGACATGTCATATATATTACATATAATTATATACATGAAGGGTCCTCAAAAAGTTCACGGGAGGATTCATATTCTTATAATTTGATTTTTGCATGAACTTTTTGAAGTACCCTCATACATGCATACATGCAGAGAGAAAGCAAATGTGGCAAAATTTAAGAATTCATAAACACAGGTGAATATATATTCTTGAATCATTTTTCCAACTTTTTTGTAGTTATGAAAATTTTCAGAATAAGAACTGGGAGCAGGGCCTCTGCGAGTCAGGACCCTCACGCGTGCCCATCTTCATTCCAGACTCTGAGCTGCTACACGGAAGTCTGGGTCATCCCCTGGCTCCAGAGGTTCGAGGTGCCTGTCCTCCGCTGTCACTGAGGCCGCCTCTCCTGCAAGATGATGGCTGCGATATCTCGCCATCACAAGCAAGCAGATGGAAGTGCCAATGGGCCACTACGGTTGCTGAGACGGGAGGGTGACAGCTGCCCCACCGCTAGATTAAATACATTGCACCTTCTTCTAAAATCGGCTGATTGTACTGATGCTGTGTGCCTAGATTCAGGGTTTGTACATATGGGACTGAGTCCTCGGTGGGAGTTAGAGTCAGGGGGCCGTCCCAGGATGCTCCCTCCTGCCCCAGTTCCTCAGTGGTCTCGGGCTCCCCATGAGAGGCCAGGGACCCGTCTCTTGGCCTGAATTAGCATTACAGCACTGGGTAGAGGGACCAAGTGTGCTACTGATCATCTTGACCCTTCGTGAATGAGTAAAGTTGTGAATAAAAATAAAGAACTAACCACCTCACAGCAATGGCTGCATTACCTTCTGAAGGGGAGTCAGGATGGTGGGTGAGTGTAGCGAGGGCCCCCAGTGCCAACTGGTCTGATGAATTTAAATTACTTCCATAAAGTCCCTTGGAAGTTTGTCCAGCGATTAGCTGCTAAAACATGAAGACCTAAGCAGCCAGAAACAGGCAAGCCTGTCCCTGTCATGAGTGTCATGAGCCGGCAAGGCAGGCAGCAGCGCATCTGGGAGGGATCCCAAGTCCAGCTGTGCCTTCTGCAGATTTGGGCCTGCCGCCTGAGTTCTCTCTGCTGCCGTTGAGGCCCAAGGGCTTGGGAGTGCTGAGCATATGGGTGGGGAGGAATCACTCCCCACAGAGCCATCCACAGAGGGAGCCCAATGAAGCTGAAGTGAGGACAGGCATACTCTGCTGGGGGCGTGAGGGCTGGCAGACACCAGTGTGCTGAGGAAAGTCAGGGTTTGAGCTGGAGTTGGGAGAAACTCGAGGCTGGACCACAGAGGGGATGCCCTGGAGCTGGCCCATGGCCAGAGGCCTCTGAGGCCTCACTCAGGGGAAAGATGACCTTCAGGCCCCCTAGTGTGGACTTCTTCCTCTCCAGGCCCTCTTAAAGCCACGATTATAAGACAGGGTACAGAGTACAAAGCATGCTGTCACCTTGAAGAAATGCAGACTTGATAATAGGAAACAAAATCTGCATCCAATATGTATGGCTGTGAACTTGATCAGTGTAAACAACCAAAATGAATCACCCTCTGGCTTTCTTCAGTGATGAGAGAAACCATAATTCCAAGTCCTCACTCATCTTTGCTGCCTCAATGAGCCTCCTTCTGGCCACTTAAGGAACAGTGATGGCAGCAATGCTATAGGACATTTACAATTCAGTGGTTCCTGAGGCCCCTGAAGGCAGTCTTCCATAAAGGACTAAGGAGGTCACCGCCCTGTGGGCCCCACACATTACCAAGGTGACAAGTCACACAGCTGCAGAGCCTAATGGCCCCGCAAGACATGTGCAAGATGAAGCCACACACGAGGGTCCCGTGCTCTCCCTGGCCTTTGTCCTTGCAGCATTTGGAGCCAGGCCTGCAGGCTCAAGGCATGGGAAAGGTGGGTGCGAGCACGGGGTGGAAGGGGGCAGCCCCGGCGCCCACCCCAGCTGCAGCCGAACTCCGCAGACCTGCCAGGCTCCAGCCCTCCCGCTGTGTCAAATCCTAACTGTCACACTCCCAGGTTTGACCACTAATGTACACCATTTAGGGACAGGAATTTATCCCGTCTCTCACAACCAAGGCAGACCCAGACATCCCAGAAGCCCATTAGTTGTGTGGCACCCGACCTCAGCCTTCTGCAGCCTGTGGGGGGCACCCTCAGGACCTGAACTCTGGGTGAAGGCTTTACTCTAACATAGCTGCCATTTCGATAATTCCTAATCTGCTTCATGTATCACGCATTACAGGAGAAAATGCTTTTCCTTAAAAGGCTCTTAAGCCAGCCATGGCAATGCTAAAAGGAAAGGAGCCATGTAACGAGACCTTGATTCCCAGAGGTCAGCAGCTGGCAGGCTTTGCCTTGTCAGAGCCACCTCCACAGCCAAACCGCTGGAGACAAGGTGTCCCTACCGCTGGGACAGCGGGCCCTGCAAGCAACCGCAGGCCCACATCTAACTACAGACATGGCACCTGCTTTCGTAATCATCATGACTTTGCTAGAAGAGACCCTCTCTCCAGACTGGGCACACCGGAACCCCCCAGGAAGGAACTGCCAGAGAGACCCGTGGCTGATCCAAAGAACTGGATAGACTAAGCACCCACTGGAGGAGGGGTGGACGTCAGCTAGGTAGGACCTGAATCCCCACTCTGCCGACCCAGCTTTACCTGCTTTATAAATGCACCAGCTTCAACCTGACACAGGGGAGCTGTGCCATCATCATGTGTCCCAGGATTCTAAAACATACCAGAATTATGGCCAAAAAGAAGAAACACTTTTGTTCAAGGTCTCAAACTGACCAAAACCACTCAAAATCCTGACAGAGCCCTGTCCTGAGTGTTCCAGAGCTTTCCCCAGCCATGCCACTGTACATGGCTCACCAGCTGTACACAGACTCTCACGGAGTCAGCTTGGCAGGTACGCACTTCAGCTGTTGACTTAGCTTAGCTCCCTCTGCAGGTTGCGGATGGGCTGAGGCTGTAACTAATGCTCCATAAACCATTAGTTATTCCCCACCATTGCCCACGGGGCCACCTGTCAAGCCCAAGAGCTGGGAACCCCACAGGACTCTGCTGTGCAGCCAAGGTTAGGGCCAGAGCCCTGCCATGACTCCCAGCTGGGGCAGTGGCCACTGCCCAGCCAAGTCCTGGGAACATCACCCTGTCTCTTGTTCTCCCAGCTCCACGAGCATATTCCTTAGCCATGTCATCACGAGTCCTCTGGGTGTCACAGATCCCTCTGAGCCTCAGTTCCCCTCTGTAAAATGAGGCTACACATCCTTGCATCACTAAAAGAGTCAGTGTACATGAAAAACTCAAAACTACACACTACTCTGCAAGTTTATGTTGGTAATAAAAATCTCAGAAATGAGTCTCTGTCCTGTGAAGGCAGTAACTGAATCCTAGTGGAATTTTTGTAATAGATGACAGGAGCACACAGAGTCACCTGATTAACGCTAAAGTGTTGAGAATGCGCATTAGAGCAAATCCCTTCTGTGTTTACAGCAAATGCATACCGCATACTTGAACCTAGTAAGACAACTATATTTTGCACCTCACCATGCTAAATTAGCACATAAAGTACAGGAAATGACACTTGGAGACAGAAAATTGACATGAGTCCAAATCAAGACTCCTCTGCTGAAAACTGTGAAAAGCAATTTACCAGCTTTTTTGCATCAGTGAAAATCAAGCCCTAAAAGCAAAGCTCTCTACTTTCAATTAAAGAATCAAGAAGTCAACTTTTAGGCCCAGCACATTTAAATTGTTTTTTTTTGAAAGCATGATCAGGTATTACCTTACGTGTGTACATATCATATTGTGAGATACATCATTAGCTATTAAAAGTATTTGATAATGACTACTCAATTTGCTCTCCTATACAGCTGTATGAACAACAATAACAGTTGTCTATGTGACACAACATGGGTCGTATCAACTAGGCTGAAGCCAGTCCTCACCCCCACTCTGCTGCTGCTGCTGCCACGCCAGCCCCAAGCAGAGCGATGCAGTGAGATTAACTGTCCACCAAACTCCTGACTCTTCCCCTGACTTAAAGCTTGACCAGTACAAGGGGTCAGTTAAAGGCCAGCCAGTGTGACAACATAAGTGTTCCGATTCTACCACAGCTATTCATTCTCTCTGAATTCTTGAATCATTACCTATGTAACTACTGTCTCTATCTAGTTATTTAAAACACTTCCAGAGACACAATCTCTCATGTCACCTCATGAACACCCAGGACAGAAAGCAAGAGATGTCAGTCCCATTCTACAGGCTGGAAAACAGGAGAGAAGTGTAATATCAACTTGCATGAGAATGAATCAGCACCAGGAGAAGGACGGCTTAGGCTGTCTGCTCCCTGAAGCCGGCTACTACCTGGGAGAGAGGTCCCGTGGCTTCCTGGGCAAGTCAAACAGACTGCTTGCCCCCAAAACAGCATCTTCACCAAGACAATCCTCTTAGCAACATCTGATGGAATTCAATTCAGTCACTGTTAAAATAATTAAAGAAACTCCCAGGCTCAGTCAATGTAATTATCATTATTTATTATCAAAATCATGACCACACTTGTCCAGATGCACAGCAACGTGGGGCTTTCGACACTCAATTAAATAGGACATTAACATGTGCACTGTTCATATGTGTGGGTTGAGAGGTGAAGAGCAAAGGTGGAGAAACAGGACGTTCCTAAACGCACCCCTGCAGAAGGTACTGAATTGCTGGATCATCCAATTCCAGCAGGGTAGGTAGTTCACAGAGAGAAACTCAGTGAAGTCCTCTTTAAGCTGTGGGAATCACATGTTTCCCTATGCACTTGCTCAGGAGTCTGAAAACCTCTGGCACGGAGGGAGACAGAGCTGGAGTGGGTGGAGAGTGAGGGTAGGAGCGATGCGCCACCACCACAGAGGGAAAACCCAGGGACCATGGGCCCACGTCCCACACATCCTCAAGAACACAGGTCCGCAATCTGGGCTGCACAGCCCCCAGCACTGGCCTCAGTGCACTGTAGCCAAAGAAAGCTATTGCCCCACCTCACAGTGAAGACACTGAAGCTGGCAGGACAGAGCCATGGCAAAATAAGATCCCTGGGTAGCTCATCTACTGCTCTAGTTACCAAACCCTGAGCCATGTTAAAAGTACATGAAGTTTCCCAAGTCCTAGGGAATTATTGGACTTAGAAAGTTTATTTTTAAGAGAAAATGGCTTTCCATAAATTTACCTTCCCCGAGGCAGATATGTTATGCTTCCCTCTAAATGCAAAATCAAGCCCAGGTGAGGAGTGCCCTTCAGGGCCTGCACAACCTCGGGGGTTGCAGCTACCATTCCCATCACACCTCCAAGGACTGACAGGTACATGTGGACAGAGCCCTGCCCACAGCTCCTCCTGGACCAGGTATGGTACCCGAGTGTGCAGACTCCCAGCACGCACACAGGGGCAGCTATCACAGGCGCTAAACCGACTGGAGGCTGAGTCTGCAAAGGAAGGGGGACGCGAAGGAGCCCAGGTACAGGTGCCCATCGTGCTCATGCACCTCACTGATGTAAGTGGCCACCAGCCCGTCAGGGTCATGTAGGCTTCTCCGGAAGGCCCCGCTGTCGCTGAGTTCTAGAACCAGGCTGTACCTCGGCACAAACTTCATCAGCGTCTCCTGACTAAACAGCTGGAAGGGAAGCACAGCATGAGAAGAGTTTACCTTCTGACTAAGACATTGTTGGGCACAGGTCCCACTATGTAGCCCCTCACTACCCAGCAATGGCCTGAATTCTCCCGGTGACACGAAAGCCCCTCAGGGCAGAGCCAAGATTAACCCAGCTCCCACACAGGGATCCCCACAGCAAGGGTCGAACCACCCAGCCCCTGCCCTCATGCAGATCAGGCCGAGGAGGCCAACCCAGCTTGAGGACAGCCACACGCACACACCTCTGTATGCCCTGCCTGAACACAGAAAAACATAAATCATGTTCGAGCAAGTCACAACATCGAAGACAAGGCTTACAATGACCTTGACCCACCAGAATGCTGGGTCGAAACCAGCACAGTTTACCTGGAATAAACAAGTCCTCTGATTAGGTTTAAAATACAGTCATGTGTCGAATAACATTTTGGTCAACAAAGGACCACATATATGATGGTGGTCCCCTAAGACTGTAACAGAGCTGGAAAGTTCCTATCACCTAGTGATATCATAGCGCAACGCACTGCTCATGTGTTCGGGGCAACATTAGCTGGCAGCAACAGGCTACACACAGCTTAAGTGTGTGGTAGGTTATACCATCTAGGCTGTGTAAGTATATTCTGTGCTGTTCACACAAGGATGAAATCCCCTAATGACACATTTCTCAGGATATATCCCCATCATTAAGCAACACATGACTGTATTCCAAATGTGCAAGGTGCAAATGATGCAGATTTGACAGCAGTTCATGTTCCAAAATTTAAAAATAAATAAATAAATAAAAGCCTGGAAGGGTTAAATGAGCAAGTCCTCTCACCACATGATATCACTTCTAAACAAGCCAATTCCACCACTTTCCTTAAAGCCCAGCATACAGATTCTGGGGGATACCTCCACTCACGAAGTGCTGAGCAGGGCGCCTCTAGTGCCCCCTGGGCATGGGTAGGCTAAGGGGCATAGCTTTGGACTCTGTGGTAACACAGTGCTGTTGAAGAATTTTAAGCAGAGAAACCAGATGGCAAGATACACTATTTCTGGCACAGCAGGACACCAGGTAGGAAATTATGACAAAGCACTCTGCTGAATAAGACCAACGAATAGAAATTGACAGGCAGATTTCTACCTCTTAACAAAGGGAAAATACCCAAACAATTGCAAGTTTCCAACACATGTCTCCCAGTCACTGGAAATATTCAAGCAGACATAGTTGACTGTACGCTAGAAGGTTCAACAGCCGTGAATCAAAGTTGCATTACAGCTCAAAAAATTCCTCAAGGCTTTCCACAATCTGTGAAACACGACCTCTTGCTGTTCGGTCTTAGATGTTTCCCTCTTCCTCTCTTCTCTCTCCGTCTTATCCCTGAGATCTCATCCTCTCATTACTGCAACTAGTCACTTTCCCAGAAACCTCTTTAATCTCCACCTCTATTTCCAACCCCCAGTGCTAAATCCCTCACTGCCTGGGGCCCATCTTCACCTGGACTTTCTTTTTTTTTTTTTTTTTTTTTTTTTTTTTTCGTGACCGGCAACGGATCGCAACCCTCAGTGTCGCGCCCATACCGGACCGGGACCGGCAATGGGATCGCAACCCTCGGTGTTGTCCTCACTCCTCGCTCAGCCAGTGAGCGGCCGGTCTGTATGTGGGATCCGAACCCTCGGCGGGAGCACCGCCGCGCTTCCCAAGCGGCGCACTGTAGCAGTGCGCCACCGGGCCGGCCCTCCACCTGGACTTTCTAACAACACTTCAAATTCCAGACTCCCCAGCTCAGGAGACAGGGCCCTCACACCCAGCTGCTGATGCCAGAAACCCAGCCTCGCCCTGATCCCAGTCACTCCATACCCTATGGGCCCAGCCACTGCAGTCTTGCCATTTGCTGTGTGTGCTCCACCCCTACCCTGGACCCTGCCTGACTCCTCCCCCACAACACTGGCGTCCCCACAGCCAGTCAAGCCCTGCTACAAGCCGTGTCCACACAGCCACCGCAGTTATCCTTTTAAAACTTTTAAAAAATTCTGGGGCCGGCCCGGTGGCGCACTGGATAGGTGCGCCGCTTGGGAAGCGCGGCGGCGCTTCCGTCCGAGGGTTCGGATCCCACATGCGGACCGGTTCCCGCTCACTGGCTGAGCGAGGCGCGGGAGCAGCGCTGAGGGTTGCGGTCCCGTTGCCGGTCCCCCGCCCCGGGCGGGGGCAACACTGACGGTT